CCCCTTGTCCTGTCACTACAGGCCCTTGGGAAAAGTCCCCTCCAGCTTCCTTGTAGCCCCCCCAGGCACTGGAAGGTGCTATAAGGTCCCAACGTGCCACGCACACGTCCAGGCAAAGCCCAGAGTATGTTTAACCAACCATTTCAGTAATCCCTTCGAAATTCCCGGTGTAAAACTACAAATTTATGTACGGCTTGTCCTCCCCGTAACAAATGTGGGTGAGAAAACTTACCAGAGAGCTGTAAAAAAAAATGTATCCTCACAAACAGGATGGGAAAAACGTGGGAAACCTGTATATCTTCACCAAAACTGCTCTCTGATTATCCAACACAGGAGTAACTTTCGTTGCTCCACCCGTGGAATACCTTCCCTTAGCCTTTTTAGACACCTGTTTGCTTGAATTCTTCCCGAACTGGCATACTGATTTTTACCGCTCGTTCTGACTCTCAGAATTCAGCGCTCCGCTCTCAAACTAGCCGGGTTTTCCCCGCTGTGCCTTTGTCTAGTCCAACTGAGGGCAAGGGACGCGTCTTCTCCCCGCTGCTCCCCAAACTCTGGGTTTTGCTGGCAGCGGTAACACACTCCTAAGCCCCGCTGAACCACCCTTAGTGACCCCCGTGGCATTTGGGGGAGGGTCTGGATAAATAAGCTGGTAGTAGAAAAAAAAAAAAACCCAGCGCTACTTTCTTCCAAGAAATACATCCCAGAAAATTCATACGCACGGCCCAGAAGCGTCTGGAATGGTGGGTTTTGGTTTTTTTTCATGACCACATTCAACATAAATCCATTGCTTTGGGCTTGGAATTCCTACGGTTTCTCTTCAAGGAGCTAAAAATAAACCATCCACAAACTAAACAAACCAACTCCAAAAGAAACAAATTTTTCCTTGGGTTGGCAATCTACCTTTTCCTTCCCCTTCCCCCGGCGGACACACTGACAAGTACTATCAACCAGCACAGTCTTCTTCCTCAGCCACAGACGAAAACCCAGCGGAAGGCATTCTCAGGGATGCGGGTACTCGGAGCGTGTTTCCAAACCCAACGTACTTCGTCCCACCCAAACAACAAGAAAAGTCCCGCTGACCTTAATTTTCAAGGGATTGATTTCCATATCCGAAGTGCAGTTCATGGGACCGTCGATTTCATACTGGACGATATACAACAGCGTGTGGTTTTGGTATTTGTAAGGCCACTGCAGAGTCATCATCACCTTGCTGAAGGCACTCGGGCCGTTGTTTCTCAGCTGATGACGGAAACAAAGTCAACAGATGTAAAAAACCCCAACGCTTCTTTGTCAGCGTGCGTACCGCCATCGTGAGCCTCGGCCATCCTCCCGCTACCCCCTACTCCCCTACCCGGAAGTTTCTTTGGATAAACGCTCTCTGAAGACCTAGAACAACACTGAGCTGTTCTTCTTCACACAGCTCTCTCAAGGAGTTCTGTTAATTCAACAATCCACATTGAAATTAAAAGTTTCCGAGGCCAAAGGCTTAAAAGTTTCCGAGGCCAAAGGCTTAAAAGTTTCCGAGGCCAAAGGCTTAAAAGTTTCCGAGGCCAAAGGCTTAAAAGTTTCCGAGGCCAAAGGCTTAAAAGTTTCCGAGGCCAAAGGCTTAAAAGTTTCCGAGGCCAAAGGCTTAAAAGTTTCCGAGGCCAAAGGCTTAAAAGTTTCCGAGGCCAAAGGCTTAAAAGTTTCCGAGGCCAAAGGCTTAAAAGTTTCCGAGGCCAAAGGCTTAAAAGTTTCCAAGGCCAAAGCCTTAAAAGTTTCCAAGGCCAAAGCCTTAAAAATTTCCGAGGCCAAAGCCTTAAAAGTTTCCGAGGCCAAAGCCTTAAAATTTCCGAGGCCAAAGCCTTAAAAGTTTCCGAGGCCAAAGCCTTAAAACTTTCCGAGGCCAAAGCCTTAAAACTTTCCGAGGCCAAAGACTTAAAACTTTCCAAGGCCAAAGACTTCACCGTAATGAGTCAGAACGGTTGGAATACAAACGAGGACACCGAACAATTTACAGCCAGGACCCTCCCGCGTTCGTTCAAGTCCCTTCAGGTGTCTTATCTACATTTCAGAGGGCTAGAAAATAAAACGTGTAACGAGGCAAAAATTGGTCACCCTCTTCTGTTTGGCCACTCCCGTTAACACTAATTGCAGGCAATGCTGTTAACACTAATTGCATGCAGTCCAACCCTTCTTACACCTACCAGTTACTGGCCCAGCGTGAAAAGAAAGTTATCTTTGTTCCCATCCAAGAACAAAAGGAAGCCAAAAGCCATTTTGCTTTTTACAACCGCGCCCTCCAGAGGAAAGCTACCCCAAAAGGTCTCTTCCCTTCCGTTTGAGCTGCGTACCTCGTAGATGTGCTGAACCAGAGGCCCAATATCGTCCTCTGTTTCGGGGTTCTCCTTCGGCTGCCAGTTTGCGATGGGAAGGAATATGTGGTCAGGAGACGACACGCTAAGGAGTGGAGCAAACAAGCCGTTGTTACAAAGCGTGATTCGCTAGAACATCTCAAAAAAAAAAAAAAAATCAGGCTTAGAATACAAACTCCAGTTTTTCACCCTCTGAAACCAGGAAGAACAGGGGCTGAGTGACCGGAATAGTAAACCTGCAGTTCTCTACGTGAAAATGTTCCAAAATGCAAGGTTCGTGCCCCAAACTCTGGGTTCATCCTACACCATCTAGTAAGGTATTAGTAGAATGAATACACAGACATGTGAAATACCTGGATAATGAGGAATGTTGGTGATGTACAGAGCTACCGGCCTGGAAAGGGTGCGGCTAGCAAACGCCCCTCACTTGTGCCGTTCTCCCCACCCCTCAGATACCGACAAAACCGGGTGACAGGAGCCAGTGCAGCGGGGATGGTAAAGAACGATGGCTGGGAGCGGGAGTTAAGTGGCTAAGGAAGAGGGCTGTGGAGTTCCCAGGCGTGACGCCGGGACTCCCGGTCAGCAGAAGTAACGGGGCTGGCGGAGTCACCGCGGTGTTAACACGGCGCTGGAGGCTGCGGGAGGCGAGGGCCCTGCC